AGAGCACTACAAATTTCGTAAATTGGAAGTTCAAACCTTGTCTGGCATATTTTGACTTGGCTTTTTCATACAAAATTGTTCTGATGTCATATCAAAACAAAAAATATCTTCTTTTTTAAAAACAATTTTCCAAGATCTCAAAGCTCAAATGCTTCTCTAAAAAAGATGAGAGCAACAACTGAGGGACTGAATTCATTCCACTGCGTCGACTAATTAATAATGAATAATACGATGCATTGACCCCATTTTTTTCCATAGCATTTACGTTTGTTTTCACTTCTTTGAAGCACGAGGAAAATCGAAGTGTACCAATCCTTACAGCTACAAACAGAAAACTCGAAAAGAGTTTCAGATTATTTGATTTTTAGACATTGTTAATGGTCACCTTTTTATATCTTAGTAAACGATGGCTCTAAGCAAACTGTTAGTTATCGTCGATTTTCAGAATAGCGCGATATAGCTTAAAGGAATGACACCACTTATACACGTCTTTGAATACGTTATCTCTTAAAAGTTATGTCGACATTTTTATGTGCTGATACTTTATTAACAGTAAATTATATCAATTCCAGATATCGAATATTTTATTTCAATAATTTAATTGCGAAGTGGTGGGGGTGGAGAGTTTAGACAGGCGACCCTACTAATTTTTAAACACAAGCTCACCTTTTAAGTTGGAACAGTATTGGCGACATAACAGTGTCAGAATAAATAATGTACATTACAATATTATGCATATTTTAAAGAATCTCTCATGAGTAACCTGGTAAGGTATGGTTATATTTCAATTGATACTGTCGTGGATATTATATGGAAGTTAATTCCATTAGTGGGTTCCATTTCTTTTCAAGTGTGCCTTAAAGGAACTATACGTATAATATTTGAAAAAACCCCCCACAGAAATAAAGGTTTACTTTGATAGGTGATGGGACGAGTTCTGTACGGTTAAAATGTTGTTTAATGTTAAGCGGAAAACGGTTTGTTTCCTAATTTTAGTTTGATTTTTTGGCTTAAACCGAAGACTGTTGAACACAAAATCAGTATAACCCAGCAATGGCTATATTTATATGGACCTAAAATTTTAAATATAAATGGATATCCATTTCGTAAAACAGACCAACACATCAAATTTAGTTAACTAAATAATACGTATTGTTGTTTTTGTTACGTCTAGTCATTACCAAAATAAAGAACTATTTTTTATGTATGAAATCAGCATCTTTAAAGTGAACGTCAGCTTTATACATTAAATACAGATTTGATACCAGAGCGTCTGAAACTTATGATTTGTAGTAAGGAGATAAATCGTTAAAATAAATACTATGTTCAATGTTCCCATGGGAATCATTTTGCTTAAGCTTATCTGAGGAGAAGCGAAAAGCCAATGACAAATTTATTACTATGAACAGAACTGGATATAACCGGAAGTTGTACACTGCACACTGATACATTATATAACATGTCGAAGCCTAATATTGTTCGATTCAAAATTGTATCCAAGTCTTTAAAATTTACCGTTATAGAATGTGTCTATAAAAATAGATCAATTTCTTAAAATAAGCCACAGACGGGTTAATCAATGGACAACAGCTTCAAATTTTGTCGTTAATATTTGGTTGAGCCAGCAAACGGAAGAAACAAGAAACGCTCAATTACGTTTGGAACATGCGTCCCTTTCAAAGAGCTACTGATATGAATTCGTTTATTTTGCCTCTTCAGGTCTAGTTGAAACAGTTTCCATTGCAGTGATAGACTGTATCTCTTAACCTTGAAGTAATTTTAATCTCATAAAAAAAACGTGTGTGTTGATAAGCGTCTGTCGAGATTAATGGATTTTAGATATATAAAAAAGTAAACGTGATTTTAAAAAGTGTTATCTTCAATGCTGGCAACTTCATTCTGCGGCAAATTGGTTTACTGATTATAATATAGACACCCACATACTCTTGCAACTTAAAGGAGTTGAATCACATTGATTTATGTCAAAATAAAAGAATTGGATCGGTTTGATCAGATGTGCTGTTTCGATTACTGACGGGGAAAACACCAATTAAATTTTTGTTTGCAAAGAGTAAGCGTGTGTCAGCTTGCTTACTAATCTTAATTTTGTTTTTGGCTTAAAGTGCAACACGTCATGATGGTTGTATGTCTCAACACTATCTTTGCCTGTATAGACATTAGATTTTAATGTCCCATAATAAGCAAAAGCAGTAGTCATTTTAGGATTCATTTTCTCAGCAAGATTCATTTATCTTTGCGTCTATATTACAATGTATGTCTAAATCAGAATATATATGCACATCTATCTCCATTAAAATGCATATACATGTATCTCTAATAGAATGCGTGTATCTCTAAAAGAATTTATACATCGCATTTATATGTATATATTAAAGTACTTTAATTAGAACGAATATGATATAGAATCTTAATACGAATTATGGGCATGTATCTCTGATATAGAATGGTGTATCTCTGATATAGAATGGCGTATCTCTGATATAGAATGTGTATCTATATTAGAAAGTATCGCTTTAAATGACAGCATAAGGCTAACAGTAAATACATACACATATATCTATGTATCCGTTCTCGAATTTTACTAAAACGACACCATTTTAATATATCGTTATTATACATGCTTCTTAAAATAGGCACATCCAGAAATAAATTTCATCTAGATAAATTATATTAATAACTTTGCAATGATGTTAATTATTAAACGTTGATGGCTCGTTTAATGGCTTCAATGGCCTAAATCTCAGATGTTGGTATTGACTTAACGGTTGTCGCGTATTGAAATACAGAAAAAATCAATGTGTAGTTATGTTACTCGTGTTGATTAGATTGATTAATAATGATCTGATTTGTTAATTGAATAAATAGAATGTCCCAGTTATGGGCAGTCTTACATTACCGTATTGTAAAATTGAGAGAACAAATTCGCATATACATATTTCCGCTTTATAAAAATATAATGTTTAAAAAGTTCTGAAGTATTTATTATTATAAAGTGTCTCATTTTAACATCAGTAAAATTAATCTCTAAAAAGAGGCATTACTTGAATTCCATGTAACTTCAACCTATTTCATTCAGTTCAATCCCTAACTTTTAATGATAATCTGTAAACATTTGAGATTAATTAGATGTCGCCATCTGGAAAGTGTAAAATGATAACTTCTCAACCAGTGGGCACCCGCGAATAACTAAAGAAATATTTACAAAAACAGTCTACTTTCTTGTACACAGTATTCCTTGCAGACAAGTGGTTGCTACAAATTTATGGCTTACGATTGTGATCATATAATTGTTTCATATTACATAAACCGGATGCAGCTTCCCTTTAATTGTAACGTAACAAAATGACAGGACAATTTTATATTATTACGATTACCTATTGAGACATGTACCTTATTGCCTTCAGGGAAGATATTATATTTGTTTGAAATTTTAGGATGTTGAATTCTGTGATTAAAGATTACGCCTTAAAAATCACACGTCACACCTCTCTGGGGCGTTATCCACAATAATTTGATAATTAATTTTTCATTCACATACACCTCAAAACAATATACATCCTTATATACAAAGCTACTGTATACGAAGCTAATTCACACAGACATTTATTGAAAAATTATCTTCCACCAGCTCCAGTCCATCTTTCTGATTGTTAGCGGGGCATTACCAAATCGCCCTGACTAATCCCTTCGGGTTTCATGAACAAGATTTGTGTACAGGAAGCAAGTAAATATTTTGAAACCGAATTTACAGGATAAGTACATAATATATGGCTATTTTTTTTTTACTGTACTGCAGATCCTAAAATCAATAGTGAAATGTCACGTGGACAATACTCTTCGTAATACTCCCTTTAATGTCCCTTTAACCCAACATAAAACAACATTTTGTTTCGTCAAGTTTAACGCTTGGCTAACGCGTTTTCTTTGCTGTGAAGTCGACAAACATGATTCTGCTATAATTTAAAAAGCGCAGCGGTTCTATTATTACTTCTCCTTATAAATAATACGTTTATTGTCATACGAAAATAGAATATGGCTAAAATACATGTATTTTCGAGATCAATAAAAAAAAAAAAAAAAAATGAGTTGCCCATGCAGGACATAAATCAGTACAATTATCAATTAAATGGATTTACTATCAAAGGAGGGTACAATTTTGAACATCGATTGCGCAACGTCTGAATTTCCCATAGATATTATTAAAAAAAAATAATAATAGAATGATTTGAAATCTTCAATAAACTTTTTAATAGAGTCATTTGATTATATATTACAGGATCCAAATAAACGAATATTCAATTATAGTGCTAATTACTGTGTTATCAAAGTGGTGCCAAATCATACCAAAATTAGGCTAGTAATAATTATTTGATTAAGTTGATGCGTAAAATATTCAGTAAATAAAGACCAACGACTTGACGGAATGACAACAAATATTAGTTATAATAAATTAATCGTGAAACGGGTATACGTCATGCAGTGAGCTTATAGGGACATTTTGCACGAACAATAATTGAATTCAAATTGTCATGGGTTCTGTTACGTCCTATCCAAACGAGTAGGCGCGATATCTTGCCAGAATACCTGTTCTGGACCATTCACAGTGGGAAACCACACCGGAAAATCACAAGGAACATTGAGATCGAACACAGAACCTCGAGGTCACCGTTGTAACGTAGCAAATATTATTGAAGGATATGACATCATAAATTAACAAAACTATGTATAGAATTGCTAGTTATGATATAAAAAATAATGTTTTAATCAATGCTATATTTATTACTAAATATTACTAAGAATGTTATATAATAATAGAAAATAATATTATGTAAAATTGAGGCCAAGAAACCGACAATAGCGACTAGATGGGGAAAACTATATAATATAAGCAATATTTAATGTTATAGAGAACTATAAAAAGTAAAATATCTTTAATAGGGTTATTAATATTTTTAATGGAAACATAATAAGGATCTTACCATGTCCATGACTTGAATTAAATTATAGTTGAATGTAACGATCACACTATGTGAGGAGTTGAATACGGGGCGAACGCTCGTATCATAATTATAGAACAATTTCCGTGACAATCGTTGTTCGTCTGGTAATACTGAAGTATCCGATGCCAAACTGCACCACCACAAATGACATATAATCAGCAAAACTAACAAACATTTGGAACTATGATATACATCCGTTTCCATCGTATTGATTTAGGCACAGTTACTAATGAAGGACATAGAAATGAAAATTCACACAAACTAAAAGGATATTCCCTAATGAACGATTTATCACTCATTTATCTTCTTCAATCATTCTGCAGATCGCTTTGGTAGATGTCTGCGTTTAAGGCGTTATGTTCTGTTGACGTGTAAAATGATTCAGCTCCAATGAACCTATGTTCCAATAGTATCCAATGAGTTATCCATAAGCTAAATGGTGAAAACGATTTCTTATGCTTAGTGCTAAACGTAGAAATGAATATTTAAATGGAAGAATCCATTCAGAAAACAGTCAAAATTGTCTATTAATTTTAGATTATAGAATTACGGCAGACTTCTTCTCTATCTGTGTAAAATATGAGTTCAAAACAGCCAATTCTATCATCAATAATATTTATGACTCTGTCGCAATCAAAATGACAAGCTTGTTCAAGACACTATAAATCCCGCGAGGGGAATTAATGTCCGATATACTATCTTATTAGGGAAACAGTTTGTTACCATACAGTGCAGAGCTATGACAGGTATATGTATTAAAGACGGGTTCTTTCTCGTGCCTGGTCAATAATACTGGTATTGTCGCCTCAGCTACACAAATACACTGGTTGGAATTTCATTTCAGAGTAAGTATACCAATACAAATGGTACATTATGTTGTACTGCGTATACAACGGTTTGTATGAAGAATTCGATTCGACATAATATACATGTACTTTTTTTTCACCTATTTCAATAAAGAAATGCCTAATAGACCGGACAATGTGTTCATTTGATTGGCATGCGTAGTTGTGTTGATTTGACTTACACATGATTGTATGATATGCAAATTTACCATCTAAATTTCATTTGGAGGAGTGTGTATTATTTCGCAATAACCGAATAAAGTCTTACTTTATGACCATTTAAAGTTTACACTGACAACTTATGATTTCACACCACCATCTGTATTTCCCTTAGACAAATAAAAAATAACCATACTGCTCTCAGTTTCGTACAAGCACGTCCATTTTTTATGAAGCTTAATGTATATTTGATGTATAACGAACAACTCGTGGGAACCTGTGGCAGTTGTATCCCACCCTCCCCCGTCCCAATATTTTGCGAGTATGTGTCCCCTTGTTTAACAATATGAATTTCCTAACGACGGGCTGGACAACACCATCTTTACATTAAACTGAAAGTGGACTATGGTTTAATAGAAAGTATTGATATAAAATAATAGTTTGAGCTAGCACTACTTTATTTATAGCACTTTTAAACAAATGATTGATCAACCGTTCTGATCAACCGATGGATGTTTTCAGCAGTTTTATATGAGAAATTTTAGTAGTGTGGCATCTGGGCATCTGCCCGAGATATAGATTATTTCTATGTACAGATATAAGTACTGATAGGTATCGTGAACGAGATAGTGGTGTACACTTAATCCTCTCTAGATCACATGCCATTTTGAATGGATGTTCACAGTATTTCGATTGGTAGGCAATGCAGATAGGTAGATAGGTTACCCTCTACCAAGAGAGAGAGAGAGAGAGAGAGAGGGGGAGAGAGAGATATTAAGCAGTGGGAGGAAAACCTACACTGTTGGACTGGCGACACTACTCCTTGTCACGTACAAGCGGGGAATAAAAGCCACGCACTTGTCTCAATGACAGACCTTATGATTCAACTTCTATCAAGTAAAAAAATCCGCTTTTGAAATCGTAGTCCCAACAATGGCTTCGTATAGCTATGCGTACCGTCGCGTTTTCTGCCGGTGGCATACAAGATTTATTCTTTGTAGAAACCCCATAACACTTTTTTTTATTTGGGAAGTTCACATAGCGAATACTTTGGGTTGTAGTTTATCATTGTATTGAAATAATGAATAGAAACACGCATTATGTTTGTTTGAGGACATCTAAAGCACCGGCAATGCATAATAATGGCAAAATACAGACAATACAACATCTCTATGAATATTCCACCGTTTCCTGTGAAAATTCCCCAAGCTATTACCATTTTCTTAACATAAACCTAAGCCAACTAAGTAGTATTCGCAATGTGAAGCGACGAAACCCATTACTGATATTTAATGAACTGAAATTGCACCGGCCAAATATATCAAGAAAATTCACAATAGAATATGCGTTGCCTGCTGAAATCATTTCTAAAATTTATTTAATGGGACACATAACTCTCATAAAAAAATCCTACTTTTAGATAGTATCCAAATATAACTTTCACTTCTGGTACTAGTATTTTCTTCTGGTGTTTATCAAAAGGAAAAGAAAATGATATTTTAAAGTATCGCCACGCCAACATCAGGGGTCCTTTACGTGCACTGGACACATAGATCACGTCTTCGCCTATGTCCGTCACTGATTAGATGGACCATCTCTTATTGCCCATTCATTTAAGGTTCTAAAAATTTTTTTGTTTATGTTTACAATATTATACAACAGTGGACCTAAGTTGAACAATGTTATGACTTCGCTTGCTTTAGAAGACTTCAAGGAGACCAGATAAATAAGTATAGTAATAAAATAAAGGTGGGTTCAAATTGTAAATATTTGTTAGATAAATTATACCGTGAAAGGGCTCAAGTAGCTGATAGCGCTTTGTTAGTTGCGTTGTGATGTGTGTTTTCGTCGCACAGATAGTATATTTGTGATGTTGTGTGTTTTCATCGTGCAGTTAGTAGCCTATATTTGTGTTCTGTGTTTTCGTCATGCAGTTAGTTGTTTTGTGTTTTTTTGTCGTGTAGACAGATCTTTGTGCTTTTCGGTGTAGATAATATACATGTAGTTGAGCTGTTCTGTGTTTTGTTTCTGCACCTGATTGCTTTCTATATTTTTTGTTGTTATTCATATTTACACTGAATTTATTCAAATACTTAGTCAATTGTGTTTTTTGTTATGTGATGGCCTTTGTGCCACACTTTGACTATTGTGTTTTTCTTGTGAAGTTATTAGTTTCTGCACTATATGTGTTAACATATCTGTAGAGGTTTGTCGATAACACTGAGTGATGATCCACAACGCTCTGTGTAGTCATGGCATGTGTTTAAATGTATATGTGCTCCACGCGGTGAGGAAAATATGTCAATTTCCAGCCTTATTAACAACCGTTAAGATGTCACCTTTAACTTAAAGAGAGAAATGATACCATGTAGAAGTGTCTACTGGAATCGCCAAGAATACAAAGCAGTTCTCAAATCAATATACACCTATACATGTACAATTGAAATCGCAAGAACTCTGTTTGTTGAACATGATTATCCAATACTTTTCCCAATGACAAGGACAAAAGAAAACACAAATTCAAAGCATGTAAACGCCTTCTAGATGATAAATCGCACCAACAAACAAAGGGCTTGTCAGTAAAGTCTTTGCCATGTTTGCCACAATCTGAGCGTCTCAATAAAATATTCAAATTCAATAGATTTCTTTTTAAAAAGGCATTTATTTTCGCCTCCTTTCGGTGCGTATTTATTAATATCTATCCGTTTCGTTCTTATGATGGCCAATTCGATTATAATAGTGTCATTTTATTTTGCAATATATCTTTGACAGACCATGCCATTACAGCTAATAAAGGGATCAAAGTTTCTAGAAGTTAAGATTTGTTTGTAGCGAAACTGATTTCTATCTGAATTATCCGTGATAAATAGCTGGATGAAGAATTGTGGTGGAAAGCTGCATGACGTCAATTCAGATCTGCCCTTCACCGAGAAAACGTTTCGAAGGTTAAGGAGAATTAGGAGTAATGACTAATGTTTCAGAATGAAATCTGTAACAAAAAAACTAAATATGGAATGTACTGAGCGCCGTGATCACTTTTTTTCCTCAAATATTTTATTACTAGGTGGTTTTGTATGTATAATATTATGCAATACTATGAACTATTATTTCACACAATGCTCCCAAACGCAAAAATTATCGGCCCGTGTGCAAAAAAACCCCAAAAATTGCACGAGATGCACATGAAAAACCCAATATTCACGTGCAGCATTGCGTGTGAGCCCTTTAAAAGCATGTTTTCAACTTAATGTGCAGTACATGAACTGTGAAACGTCAATCTGTCGTAATTTGTTGTTGGACGTGTGAAGGAATCGAGCTAGAGATGCCGAGACTTACTGAAAATCAACGGAATGAAGCCATGGGAATGTCCAGGGCTGGCATGTCTACACGTGCTATTGCCAGACACAATTTAATTGTCATCAGTCCACTATTGTAAGGTTGGTGGAACGTGTTCGAGTTACTGGATCAACACGTGACCGCCAACGTCCTGGTCCACAACGCGTTACAACCCAGGCTCAAGACCGCTACATCCGGGTCACTCATCTGCGTGACAGATTCCGCCCAGCGACTCGAACAGGTGCAGCAGTCGTCGGAAGACAAGGACCAGTAAGTGCCAACACCGTAAGACGTCGTCTAAGAGAAGTAGGACTCCGTGCACGACGACCTTATGTTGGAGCTATCCTCATGTTGGAGGGATCATCACCGTCAGCGGCGTTTGATATGGGCTCAAGGACACCAGACTTGGAGAAGAGTAGACTGGCAAAGTGTGCTCTTCAGTGATGAGAGTCGCTTTCATCTTTATCACGCTGATGGCCGTCAACGTGTGCGGAGACGTCTTAGGGAACGTGTTGCAGACTGCCGCGTCTTCGAAACGAATCGATGGGGTCGGGGAAGTGTAATGGTGTCGGGAGGCTTCACATATTTCATCACCGGACCGCTCTACACATTTGCAGGGGTGGCGTTAATGCTGTAGCCTACCGTGATGATGGCTTGCAACCAATTGTTGTTCCGATGTTTCGAGCGCACCCACAACTTCAGCACTTCCAACAGGATAATGCACGTCCGCATTTTAGTATGGACTACCTGGCTGCTAACAACATCAATGTCTTGGACTGGCCAGCCATGTCTCCGGACATGGCACCGATAGAACATGTCTGGGATGAGATTGGACGCCGTCTGTATCGGAGACCACAGATGCACACCATTGCTGCTTTAGAAGCTGCTGTTGTCCAAGAATGGAACAATTTGCCCCGGGCCTTCTTTCAAACATTGGTAAATTCCATGCGACGTCGCTGCACAGCGTGCGTAAGAGCCCGTGGAGGACACACGCGCTACTGACACCTGTGTCGTACTTTTGGTTTTGACCCTCTGACTTTGTACCGTTGATTACAGATTAAACACCCATAAGTGTACAAATGTGTTGTTATTGATGTGTTCCCATTTGAATATTGTTCACAATAAGAAGGAAAATAAATAAGATATGTTTACAGGATCATTTTGTTATACGAAAAACTAAGTGATGCGTTTTCCATGGCGCTCAGTATATTTCTTTCTATCAAAAAGTAACTTTGACAGAAATGAAATGGGGTTTAGCGTCCTACTTTTCTGCACCGACTGTGCTAATTAAGAGGGGCATTTAACTATAGTCGGAGAGATCACACATCACGGGCTGCAAAAATCTTGTTTGTCAAGTGACTTGACTGAGGGAGTGCCGATGTTAGAGTGGTCCATGCAGTCTCAAATATGTACTGTGGTAATAAACACCGAACCTACTTGTCAGCATGATGGCATTGATGCATCTCTTAATGACAAATACTGGAACGAACTCATCTCAGTCAAGGGCTCGCTCATGCATGGCATGCAGCAAACATTCCCCCAAAATAGACATTCACATGACAATCTTCATTCACTTATTTATCAATGGGTAGGGTGCCGCGTGCAGCGAAAATTTTCCCTATACGGCGATACGGCAAAAGGCACGCTTCAGTGACTTGTTTCGAAGTGATTTTTAGCTAATCACGCAGTGCGATAATACTCAGGGCTAGAGTCTATGAATCTATAAATAGCCATCACACGTGAAATTCTCTAGCCGTAAAAAATCTATTGTTGACGATTCTGAATAGCAGTATTATTTAGCTTTTTGGCTATAACGCTTTACAAATTACATTCTTTTATTTTTTAAATTGCTTTATCATTAACTATACCGTTAGGAGCTGCATCTTTTGGTTTAGTACAAAAAATATATCTCAAACACTCGGGTGAGACAAGAACATGATACTAGCAGTAGTTTCATTTTACTTTTACAAGCTTCTTAAAACAATTGTTGAATTGCCTAACGTGCGTGTTTCTAAATTCAATTTCTTGTTCCAGCTTCCTGTTATGTTTCGTAAAAAAAAGTAGTCTTGATTATCCCGGCTTGTCATTCAGACGTAGAACGGCCGGTACACTGGTTAAGCGAGACTAATTTAAAAAAAGGGCACTTTTTTACTCAAAAGTGCTCGCGTGTTATGGCCGACACTCGTAACCATTAATTATTTATGGATGGTTAAATGGTCATAGCTTATTAAATAAAACATGACCGTTTATTTAGTGCATATGAATGTGCGAAACTGATTTAAGGCTTGGTATATGTATACAAATATTCTGGTGTGATTGTCGAGATATTTGGATATATTTATTTATCGTGGGGCACCCTACAATGGGGCCCTTAAAAATATATTCTTTACGCGTTGGACTTTTAACAAACTTTGTTACAAACTTGAACAAAACTTTGTATAAAACTCGTCGATTTTATATTTCATTTATTTGATTGTAACGGTTCTCGGTTCAGAGCCAACTTGTGTAGTTTCGTCCTTTTTCTATTGTTTAAACTCACGCTCGCGACAACTTACTAACACTGCAAGACTGTGAAATTTGCATTTATTTAACCATAAGACCTTATGGTTAGTTGCCGCCTTCGCGAGTTTAGAAGTTAGGTTTTTGCTGAATATATTTTTCGTAGTCTTGGTTAACCAGACTCGTATGTTTAAAATACAATTTCTAGTCAATAATCATTTTTTACGATTCATTTTGTTGGTTTGTTTATTCTTTATGAGAGAGATCTGAGGGGTAGAGACCAGCCAAAGGGCGACCAGCAATAATTTGCTGTTCAGCATTTTATAAGACATTGAATTGAGCAATCTGACCAAACTGCCCGGGGCAAACATTACAAATTATGCCTGTAATAGGCGTTATTATGGAAGCGTATAGGGGTCAATAGCGCGAAAGGTATCACGATATTAAACATGCATTATGCAAGAGCTAAATCTGCCTATTGCAGGTCTTTCTTTAGGCCTGAAATAATGTTATCTAAACTAAACTATTAATTAGACATTAATTAACCTATCCAGAGCATAATCAACTCTAGATGGCATCGCAAGCCTGCGATTTTTAGTGGCTTATGAGCCAATTTACTGCATAACTTTCCTTCACGAATTAACGATTTTAAATGGATAATCGAGACTATGCTGTTTATCGTACTGACTTTAGTAATGATGATCGAGGCTAGCCGTAAAATTCAACCGCTTAGTTCTCGGTTCATAGTGGATCAATTTGAATGAAATTTTCAGCAAATTGCCTTTACATTATCTATTTTTTAACTATTATAGTGAGAACTGCCAACTCGTTATCGAATCTCCCATAATGTATCTTTAATATAGTAATATGTCTTCATATTGTGGTTGTTGTGAAGATTTTATCACTCAAAAGACAGTTTTTGTTGAGTTAATTTTACTAACGCACTATGTTGTATGTCGCCATTTCGTTTTAAATGCGCACGTTTGCTTTATGATATTGCTCTTCGGAAATTTGGCGACATAGGCCATTATCATCTTGCGCTATGTCGACATATATACTACCGCGAAATGGAATATGATGACAATGCTTCAGAATAGCAATATCTTAACGCAAATGTGTGCACTTAGAACGAAATGACGGCACACAACATGGTGCATTGATTCAATTAACTCACGAAAAAACGTCTTTTCTGGGTTAAAATTATTATTTCAGAAATCACAATATTACCATATTAATATCGCCGTATTGGCCCCTTTCCACACATTATTAATAAATTCCCGACAAGTTCGAATATATGGAAGCGTATAGGAGTCAAAAGCGCGATAGATAACGCGATAATTATAAGGTAATTTGTCAATATATTGTAGTCGTTGCGATGATTTTACTCTGGAAAAGACGATTTTTGCTGATTTAATTGAATCAGTGTAAAACAGGTACATATTCTCGACAAAACCCTTAGATGATCTCAAAGGTTTTAGAAGCGGCGTTCTTGTATCTCTAATCACCTGATTACAGTATTATTATACAGATTTATCGTGTTCCCAACGGGCACGACATAAGTCTATCTGAATATACCATTTAAATATTTTTTGAAATTGAGCCTTTACGTTATAGTGTGTATGAAATACTAAATTGTAACTGTAAACATTATTTAAAACTAAATCTTGCATCACGGTCTAATTCCAACCGTCGCTCAACGGATATTATATGCTATTGATAGGTAAGCGTTTCAGGTGTCATCGATAATTCGCCCTGGAGATCGTGTCGGAAAAATATATTATTTAATGACTGTTTATCGATATATTCGGTTTTCGGCCAGGGAATTATTCAATGACTATTTACATTTAACTAACAACTGATCATCATTTGCACGCGCGTAAAAAATGAAGAATCCTGACCGAGGTAAGTAAGTATTCGTTACAGGGCGAAGGTTGGAATTTTAATGCGACTAAGGACAATGTCCCTGTGACAAAAAAAGCTACCGCTGTGACAAAAAAGCTACCGCTGCAAAGCTAGAGGCACCGGTCAACTTTTGAACAAGTTACAAAAAGTATTCAAAAATCCAACTTAGCAATACTTTAAATTTTCATGAATGATGTTTTTAATGGTAAGTCTTATCATATATTTTAAAATAGGCTCGCTACAGCTTGATGATTGTATTTATTTTCTGGTTGTAGACCGCCTTACCGAGGTTACAACTTGTATATGTCGTTACTCGTTGTCCATTTACCATACATATCGACGCTTAAGTAACTTGTTGGATTATCATCCACCAACAGGTTGCCATTTTGCTCTGTGTGTGTCCTATGAATGTTCTTTTTCAAGGAATCAGTATTTTTGTAGTATATAGAACATTTGCCATAATACTTTTCCCAGAATGCATCTTTAACATATGATGCACCGTATCGTGCAAATGGACCGTGGTTCACCTTTCAAAATGTTTAAACAAAATGTTGTTTTCTTTGTTTTAAATGAACAAGATTCCTGGAGATAAACATTAACAATTATAACTCTTCAGTTGTGTTTATTTTATGAAAAGATCGAATAGTCATATCAATTTTATTAGATACGAAAACTTGTCTTGTATACTATTTGCTATTTAAATAACTACACGAATTGACACCTTTCTATAAACCCACAAACATAATGTACACCCATAAAATGGCATAGGGCCATACATGTATGTATTGCAATAAGTGATAAAATATCTTTTAGTGTCGTGTATGTTTTACATATACACATTATATAAACATAACATATAGGTTCATAAAATAAATCCCGCACCCTACGTGTTGTAACAAAACATTTTGTAATATTTGCTTATAGTGGCAAACTACATGTAAAAGCTTCACCTTGTTCAGTGAAGCAAAATGGCATCTGTTTAACTATTGTCATTATTCCATTGTCCATTGATGACATGACTATTATTATAAAGCCCGAGAAATAATTGCAAATCGAACTATAGATAACTTATTGAAAGCTGTCTTAACAATACTTATTTCACAATAAATAGATCAGACCAGTTCTGTTTATAGAAATATATTCGTGCCCCTATTTTGTGAATAGAGTGTGTTGCCATCTAACCAATTTGAGCAATCTCACACTTCATTGCTCATTATTGTGCGTTCCGTAAGATCTTATACCATTATAAGGGGGAGGTAAGCGACACATGCAAATGTCGACTGAAAGCAGACGAGTATTTATTGTATAGAAAAGTCACACGTAGAGTGTTGTATTTTGATAAAAGTGAATGTTTCTAAATTCCAAGATGGTGTTCCTAGTTATGTTTTATGAAAAGAGATGAGATATGAAAATATTAGTTTGAAGTTAATGAGTTAAAAACGCTGGAGTGTATCTCTTTTGGATGATTTCTTACATGTTTTCAAGTGATTGGAGCCAATAACTAATTCGGCACCTGTGAATATTTGCAACATGGTGTATGTCAACAAGTTTTTTTCACTTGAATACCGCCCATAATGAAAAGTTTTAATCATTATTGCCACGGGTGCTAAAAACTGTTGCTAATTTCTTAGAACAGCTGCTAACGAGTTCATTGACGTCAGTTAACCGTGGAATGGAACTTTCAATAAGGTAAGCATTTTATACGTATATCTCTAATATATATTACATTTAAAACGCTTCTATATTATATCTATCCGGCCATTAATCGTCCATTTAAGCATAATGTACGATATAAAATGAATAATATACACGAATTTGAAATCGCATGGAGAATATACAAGTATCAAGCCCCCCATTTGTATGTTAGCAGTTGGTCAAATTGATTAAATATTTGCTTAATAATAATGATTTGCGTTTTACTTAAATGTGGCATATATTATGTCACGTGGAATTAAGTTTTTGTAAATGGGCGAGAAAGTAGTAGATATTGAACGTCTTATAAGTATGTGTTGTTACTAAAGACTCATTCATAGGTTAACGGTTACTGAATATTCATGGCCCTATTAAGTAGTTAATCTAATCTGGTAAATAGGTACTATGGAGGTAAAACGAGTACATTATGTCACAAAGTCATATATAATCGCAGAAGTAATTAGTTATAATAGACAATATTGGTGAGTGCAAAATGATAACAGAAAATTATATAACTTCTGCATTAACATTGAATAACAGGGCTATTGAAGACGAAATGAAATGGTATTTAACGTCCTACTGTTCTGCTCCAAACTGGTCTATGAAGAAGGGCATACGCCATACAGCGGCATTATGGCCTACTCTTATATCGAATTCCAACTGTCAAGGGACCTTTTACGTGCACGCCAATGTGTACACGGGACCTCAGTTTTTCGTCCCATCCGAACGACTAGACGGCTGTCCTTGTCAGGCCCTCCGTCCTGCATCACTGACAAGGGAGAACCACGCCAGAAAATCTGGATGAACATTCTCGGCCGGTCACAGGTCATGCAATGTGATTTGAAGGAAATTTTAATTCCCCCTACGCTTCAGCGAATTACAAATAAAAAGTGTTCTTTTATTTGTACGCCAATGATGGCCAACTTCTGACTGTTGTGTTCTACATTGTATTTGTAAGTTCTCAATTGGATCATCTTAATCAAATTACATTTAGAGTGCCTGGTATCTAACTTCGAATCTTTTTATAGTGACCATGACCATGGGTTTTCTATAACCATGTACGTGTACAAATTGATAAAGGAACTTTAATTTAAATAACGATACGATCCATAAACAGACAGGTGCATAATATATTAACAATTTAATAAATAACAATCAATAAAAAAATCAACACATTCTACTGAAATGAAATGAGGTCTAACGTCCTACAGGTTCTCCGTCGCGAATCCTTCACAATGGGAAACCACACTGGAAAATCCTGAAAAACTTTCTCAGCCAATAGTTCGATTGAACACAGGACCGTCTGTTTAGTAAGCCAGTGCCAATTGCGCTGTGCCACCCTTGCGATTGTTCTGTGTGGGCCACGTGACAGAATAGTACATCAACATCAATTATTCACGAAGTTATTGCCCCTTCCATCGAAAGCCCCCACCCCAGTCTTTTATACTGTTTAGATATTTCTACTAATCAAATACCCATCTTTTGTTAAATTTGAAAAGCTTGCTTGATATTGTCGACTAAACTTTAAAATCTTTCAGTAAGATTTAATCAAGGCAACGGTAAAATCTTGTTTAAGCCCAGGCAACTTTTCTCGTAAACATACGATATCTTCGTCTGTCTTCAATTAATAATATCGGGTGCAATTAGCGTTTATATGCAATTTATTCATACCTATATTGATTTTCTAGAAATGGGCCATCATTTTGACTGTTTAATCTCAAAGAATAATGACAGATCGCATATAAGACTATTATTTATCACAATAAGATAAACTGGCGCGCCTCCTGTTGCCTAGTAACCTGAATACGGAACAATGACCATTTTGATGAATAAAACTGTTCTGCGAATCAGCAGTGTTATAATTAGACATGATCGCATAATAATTAGTTAATTCTCTAATTACAATATGCATATAAATGGAATGAAAGAGCCGGAATTTCTATTTACATTTATCTGAGTGTCGTCTTCGGTGTTGTTCTACTTCTGATCTTGATACATTTACACATTTTTGTGAAAAGCAATATCCTGAAGTATCTTGGTAAACTGTGTTGATAATTACGAAATCTGTGTTCAGATGAAATTAGATGACAACAAAAAATTCAAATAAATGGCTTTGGTTATGGGAAAAAGGGAGACAACTCTTATATCAATAATGTTAAGAATACCTGTGGTTCGAGACGAAATGGCTCGGGTGTTGACAATTTACGAACTGTCCTTTGCGCTTTCTTTAATTTTGCACAATTCTAAAACATTGAAGTATTACGTATACATCAAAAAGAGAGACAGAAGAAATCCAAATATTCTGATACGATCTGAACAATCTAATTCAAATGGACAAAGACATTATTCCAATTCAATGCCCAGAGTAATAGAATCCACTTTAGGTTATAGTATCACTTTAGCAACGCGCCATTTGGAATAGCATGTAGATTACCTTACGGTTTGTTAACCTCGATTTACACAGTGTAAAGAAAACAATCTTATCGCCATCAGCAAGGACGTAACCACTACAAGAAACATTGACACCGTCCGATATCCCTTATGGGTCAATTATTAGTACAAAATGGCTGACTACAAAAGTTACTATTAAAAATTTTTAAAGATATTCAATGATCACAAATATTAAAAAATCCAGAAAATCTGACGGAAAATAATTTGGAATACGGATATACCCTCTCATCGTAAAAAATGGATTTAAAAATGCCTAGAAGAATATATTTGTTCTCCATTTGGCTAATTATATTTATACACATCTGAAATAAAACAAACGTTGCTAAGCAAGGAATATACATCCACTAGCTAAGAAGTCGCTAGAAATATTAATACAGCATTTTTAAATTTGTTAAACATTCCCCAACCATTTCCCCAATCGAATCTTTGACTATAATTCGGACTAATGACCAATGAACAATTCCTGCAAGTTTCAAACATAAATTACAGGGTTTCGTTGATAACAACTCCGTAATAATTGATTCATGAAAACAAGGTTTCGATGACACGGTGAATAATCCTGTTGACAGTTGAGGCATTTTTTAACTTAAAGGGATTCCGTATAACGTCTACGTAATAGTAAACGATTCCGTCCACCCTTGTGGGTTTTCTAGTCATAAAAAATTAACCGATGTATATTTGACGATGCAATGATTTATAATGATTTATTGGCCCCTACACTAAAACCATTTCCATACTCTTGCCACATTTTTAAAAAAATTTTCGCGCATGGTTTATCAAACCAGAACGAAGAGACTATAAATATTTGTGTTAGCTTGGGTTACTATAATATTGTGATTTTTCTATAAGATTCAAATTTGTTTTTATTGTTCATGTACCGAAACGTGGCACCGTGTGGCGTTTTACAGTCGTTGAAGGGTTATTTCTTCAAACTACAAAAGTCTGTTTACTTGCTATATGTAAAATGCATTTTTCTTTGCATTCTATGCTAGAAAATTCAACAGTATTATTAGCGGTGTAGAAATATGGTCTGGTACGTCAAAAACATACCATGTCTGACACAAAATTTGTTGACCTCGATCGTGTAGGCCGGGTGCTTTACGCCACACTGCAACTATTACTACTCGGCGGCGCCGATGCAATATGATACATTAAAACAAAACAAAAAATAAGTTCACTGTATTAAATAGACTGTAAACAAATATAATAAAATAGACAGTTTGGAATTTATAAAGAATAATATCAATTTTATTAAAATATTAAGAATTAATCGCAATGCATGTAGACCAAATGTGCAGCTAGCAAAAATTGCCGCCCAGTACTAAATGTCCCTTCTAATAAGGTGATTGAAATATTTCTAAAATGATCTAACTTATTAAGTATACCTGGATATTGCTTAAACAGGTCAGATTTTAAAGAGTTATTAACAATGTCAGTAGGGTGGTGGATACTCTAGTCATTGTTTAAATTACTGTGTTAGGATATGATCCAATTCACAAGATTTGGTTGTTAAATACTAAATTGGCTTTTAGTTTCATCTTGTATTCGGGACTTGGGTTCTTTTTCAGATCATGTCGTATTTTCAAAACATTACCATAACATAAAGTTTGAAAATCTTTCAGTCTGACACGGTTAACATTTTAATAAGTTCATTAATAATAGAAGTGTGATATATTCACTTACATGTTTACGCTTGTCTTTAATTTTAACGTACACGCGACACAAAATTGGTTATTTCGGGACAAACATTTGGTTCAATTTTATTGCATTAATTCGCCAGCGGTTTTGTGTCTTTAGCAGTGGCAGGAAACGGGAGAGACCGGGGAAAACCCACGAGGTTCGTAATGCGATTCTTGCCATGTACAAGCTGGGAATCGAAACACGCTACTTGATCTAATAGCCCGCTTCCCCTAACTTTATGTCTTGCGTCTTTCCATTAAATAATTGGAGCTAAGAACGGAAATAAACTAATCAGCAACGGCGCTCTCAGTCTTGCTATAACCTGATATGGGTACCGTTAAGCTTGGCGCAGACGGTCAACTTTTCGTCGCTTGTTGCTGCAATAGGCAACTACTGGCAACTCCGAGCAATTGGCAACTCGAGGTCTCCCGTGTGCGCTGACTGGCAACGAGAAGCAATTTTTCCCCGGATGTATCCGGAATGCCGATATCACGTAATCATTCAAAATTGCGCCGTACATGCAACAACATATATCACATGACAGTAGAGCGCTCGCTGATTGGACAGTTAACCAGTTGCTTGTTGCCTGTTGTCGCCTACCGCCGCAGACGAGCAATTTTGAAGCAACAGATGAACAATTTCTCGGCGACGAGCGATTTTCTGTTGTCGAATATCAAACATGTTTGATATTTGGCAACGAGAAGCAACTCGGAGCAACAGCAGGCAACTATTGTTGCCCGTTGGCGCAGACGAGCGATTTTTTTCTTTCAACGACCAGCGATTTCACTGTTGCCTGAAAGTTGCTCGAAAAAGTTGCCCCTCTGCGCCTCGCTTTAGATACATGCATAAGAAGAATGCATGCTGTT